CTCTATACAAAGACCTTATATTGATAGTGATGATTTTGGATGATTTAGTGTGTATGTCTGATTTATTTGTAGACAGAGCCTTCAATCAGTGATTGTTTGCTTGTTTAGTAGACCGTTCGAGAATTCTTCTTGATATCATTGATAACATGGTGATGTTAATGTAAGGTGGTGTTTTGCTGCTGTCGCCTTGGGTGGCGGTGCATGGCTGGTGGGCTTCCGGATGGAGGTGGTGGTGATGGGTGGACTGTTGAGAAATTTAGGGATTTGAAGAGCTTGGGTGTGTGGAGGAAGAGTGAATGGGGTAATATGCGGATAAGGATAGATAAATGGTATTAAATAGATATTAGTAAGAAATTAAGAGTAAAAATTTCATGTATCATATGAGAGTGTAAGGATGGATACATTTTACTGTGGTGTAAGTGAGAGATGACCCCTTTCTTCCCACCCTTCATGAGATTTTTATTTCAATTTCTACCACCTGTTGTGAAATTACCTGTTAAGGATAAAGATAAATTTAATAGATTTTATATCTTTTACAATCCATGTACACACTACAATTATTCTCATATTCTCAGTTTTTTCACTTCTCTACTACTTATATTTACTTTTATTTACTTTTTCTTTATTCTCGATAATATGTGTTTTGCATCATAAAATGAAATAATAAATGAATAATTGGTGATGAAGGCGAACAAAAAGTGAAATGGTGAGTTTTTTTTCTTTATTTTATTATGTTTCGTTTTGTTTTTTAGGATGTTCGACTTTTGTTCTGTAAACTAGAATTGGAATAAAAATACAAATAGTCCAAATTATATGTCGATATAAAAAAATACATATCGGCTAACACCAACTATCGATCAAAAAGATATAATAGTTTAGTACCTAAACCAAAAGTACATGTCCCCTGCATAACGACTGCTGAACATTGTTTTTTTTTTTTTTTTTGTTGCTCTCTTTTTTTTTTTAATTTTTTTTTTTTATTTTTGTTTTATGTATATTATATGATTGTAGTATTATTTTCGCTGACATTTATTTTTTTTACGTTTGAAGGGATTATACTTTGAGTATTGCAGCAACACTAGATAGTGCCATTGTGTTTATATGGATTTACGATCGTATAATCCCATTAGTATAGAGGTTTTTGTTTAGATTTATCTGTTTTCCTGGGCATGGTAGTACTTGTGTCGAAAGTATAATATGGTTTGAGATTCATTTTCATTACGCGTGTGGCTAATGATGAGAAGAAGACAATACTAACCTGTCACTAATGCAATTAATGTAGTGTTAGGCCTTGATGTAGTTGATATACTACAAACTATCATTTAGATAGATTGGGATACATCTCAGCTGTAGTGTTTATAAAATGTTTCGGTATTGACAAAATTTTGATAGATATGTGTCACTTACAAAGATTATATTATGAATAGTTTTTTAAGGTGGTTTTGTATATGCCTTATAATTTTTTATTTATTGAAATGTTTGATTTTTAGGGAAGGAATGATAATCTGTAAACGCTCCGTGAGGAACACGATTTAGTTGTCCGAGAATTATAACAAAAGTCGTATGTCGATATTCGGAATAACATGACATATGGAAGACTCACATTACCAAAAATTGTTTAGCACCTGTCACACCGAAC